ATCTTTGCAAAATGATTTTTAACCAAAATAATAATTATTTTTGGAAATTTCCACATGTGCAAATTGTGCTTCACTCAGACAGTAAGAACTTGTTCTGTACTACCTGCCATTAGTGTAAATGTATAATTGTAAGAAACAGAAACAGGTAAGTCCAGTGTCCAGGAATGGAAGCTGCTGTAGACTGGATAGATGCTTCTTATTTTCCTTAATGCCAAAAAAAAAAAGCAGAAAACAAAACATACTACATACTACATTATTGGTCATTCCTAAGTACTTTCACATTCTGACCTTGTTCCAGGGTTCGATTCATTTGCAAGTGGTTAACACGCTATAGAGAATTTCTAATTAATAATTTCATTCATTTATTTATCAGTGGGAGCTAACAGAATCACCTTTTCTAAAAATTATATCCACCCCAATTTCAAGATTCTGATTTCTTCTCCTCACCCCAAATATGAAAATTCAGTATGGCTTTGAATCATGTGTCAAATTTCTTGGTTTTACTGAAAGAACAAACATTAGGACTACTGCTTTATAGTATTTTAAAATTATCTTTTGGACACCATAGAAAATATTAAAAAGAAGTATGACCTAATGCCTGTCCTCAATGGACTTAAAATACTCAGAGTATAAAAACGACCAGGTTTAAGTTGTTAGCTATGGAATAGTAGAAACTGAGAGCCACAAGAGCACACACAATAAAAATGTTTCCTCCAACCAGAAAGTACCTGAAAGGTCCATTATTATTACTATTCTTGATGATTACTTTTAAGAGTTAGAGGTATTTCAGTGGATCAAAGTGGCACATTTTCTAGTTAACTCTTTAGCCTGAATTACCTTATGTAAACTAAGTACCTACTATCACCAGCAGGGGCTCTGAAGGGGCAAAAATAAAAATACATACATTTTGATAATCAGGAAGAATTGAATACATGGTGGCTTTGTGTGATGTTACAAGTGACTTTAAGCAAATCTCTTCAAAGAGAGACGAATTATGAATACTCTATAATTGTTGACTCTGCCTATCAAATCATGGTGCATTAAATTAACGGCATTTCATAAGTTTTTCTGATATTATTAAACCACAAATTATTTAAATCTTTCATGATACCCTTTGATAGTGTAAGAATATTATTTTTAAAAAACTATATAACACCATCTTTTGTAAACAAAAAAATTTTAATTAATAAATAAAACCCTTAGTTTCCATAAGGATTACCTATAGAAAAATATGTGAGAGGAAGATGTAAGAAATTGAAAAACTGATGATACCTAGTGGGGGTATATAAATATTACCTGATTAAAAATAAATTTATAAGTAAATAGAGTTATTTTCAAGAAAAAAAAAGTGCTATTGCTGTCTTCGCACATGAGTCAAGCAAATGTAAGAAAGCTGAATCCTTCTTCAATTTTTGAATATCACCTCTATTGTCATAGCTGGTGAGATCCAAGCCTGGGCCAAATCTTCCCAAGATGTTCAGTTTGAAACCCCAATAAATAGCAGGTCAGCAAATCTGTATTCACTGCAAGACAATCACACAGGAGGCTATGACTAGTATAATGACAAGAAATTGAGAAATGACAAACTTTGGTGCAATAATATAATCTGTTGTCTTAATTCATGTCTGAAATACTCTGGCTTGAAGATGTGCTTTATAAAATACATACTATCAAGTATAAAGTGAAGGTCACAAGCAATTTATTTTAAATGAGAGAAATGGAAAAGGGTACTTTAAATTATTAAAATTTATTTTCACCTATAAAAGACCTCAGATGATCTACTTTGCCATAATAGGTACAAAATGATCAGAGGTTTTCCAAGCTAATAGCCACCTCCCACACCGTTATACATATATGCCATTTAAAGTGACTGCTTTCTCTTTAAAAAATACTGTTAAAATGTTTATGGTTCTTAAGGATTACATGTTGAGCTGGGATTATAAATATGTATAAATATGCAGATACTCTATTGAATCATTCCTTATCCCATTTATATTTCCGAAGTTGTATAAGATAACCTTTGTGGCTTTCAAAAACATCTTCTCACACCCCAGGGGGCAAATTACCTCTATTTTCATTTCCTTTAGAGTTAGATCATTTTATAATTAAGAACTTATTGAAGCAGATTCTCCCCACGTGTAAGTTACTCCCTGGGGAGTAATTTATGCAAAGAGTGCCGCTGACTTAATATCATATAAGCCTAACAACAGTACCATAGGTACCTGGGATTTTTTTGTCAATTTTGTAATCATTGTAGAGAATCTACTGTGTTAAGGGTTATTGCTTAAAACAACAACAATAACCATAATACAAACAATTTACAGTGCCACTCGGTTATTTTTAAATAAGATCTTATAAAGCAATAATAACGTAACCTATTTCTTGCCCAAAAGCATAAGAAATACCAGTTAACAATGATGGGATGATGATTATGAACACTGACATTTACTATTGCTCTTTGTTGCTCTTTACTATTTACAAGACACTTCTGCATATGATATCTCATTTAATCCTCACACATCTTTGTGCTGTGTTAGTTAGGCTTTTGAAGTGATAAAACAAGACCAGAGATTTTTGTCTTGGCCATGGCCATAAGCATTAACAAATTTGGAGCAAGAATTCAGGACATCAGAATAGAATGACATCAAAGCTCATATTTTTCCCATCAAAATCTTAAAGAAAAATACTACTTCATATAATCTGAAAGCTAAAAGAACAGAAATAAGTAGAAATTCTTAGTACAATAAGTATTTTAGTTGCCTTTGACTTGTCTGATGTTTTTATCAGTATCTCTTCCACTGATGCCAATGGACCTATATAGGAATTCAAAACTGCATTCATATTTTACATTTTAGGAAGGCAGAGAAAGGGTTACTGAATTCAGTATCAGGAAAATTTCTGGTTGTCATCTCCCAAGTCAGCTCAAGGGTATCATTAACCACCTGGATCCTCAGTTTTCTCTTATGAAAAATAGGAGCATAACTGAATTTTTGTTAATGATTTGAAGTTACCGTAAAATATTAATTTCAAAAAATTTAATGCGCTACCCTGAAATTAAGTATTATTTTTTAAAAAAATACAAATGAGCCAGAAAAAGAGAGCTATGTCTGCATTTATTTATTTTGTATATTCTAGGGTGAGACACTGTAGAAAAGCATCCAAGTGGCAGATTGATGTACAGAGCATTTTGAAGCATATTTTGCATAATTATTTTAAATTGGGAGCTGGAATAGCAGATCTTCCTAATATGTATAATTTTTAACAACTCTTAGAATACTATAAGAGACATAGGAATTACTACATTCTAAATAAAGTTTATCATATGGATCCATCTCCATCCATAACCTCGATATTGATGACTTAGAATCCTCTTTCCAAGAGGTTGTAGATAGAGGTACCTACAAGATACCACACCAAATTGCACACATGCAAAATGAAAAGCCCATGCCCTACCATGTTCCACAAAGTAGTTGCTTCACCAACATCCTCATTCTTTGTCATACTGACTATTTAATTTATACTCTTAAGGCTAGGAAGTTAGAAGTCCCCTTTTTCATCAATGTCCACCTCTGTAGGTTTTCTGTCATTTATCTTCTCACTTCTGTCTTTGAACTGTCTTTGTATATGTTTCTTCCTCTCCATTCACCCTGCCACTGAAGTAATCCATGCTTTCATCTCCCAACACCCAGGTTAGGAACAGTCTTTCAGTTAGTCTTCCACCGGTCTCTGGCTGCCTTCCAAACTCAATTCTGTTATTACTTTTCATCATTTCTGCACTATGTTTGCTTCCTTGATAGGTTGTGGATGTTAGGCAAAAATTCCTCCGCCTACTCCCAGGAGCTTCATAATCTGATATCACTCCCTCTGTCCAACCATATGACCCAACTTTCCATTATAGCCAAATTGTTTAATGAGCACAGCCACAATAATTTAAGACTTTTTCATTTAATTATGCTTGATGAAATGTCCTTTGACTTACTGCCACCTATCAAAATCCTACACAATCCTCAAAATCAACCAAACAGTCTTCATCTCCAACGAAACTATTTGCTTCCACTGAAGTCAGAGTACCCACATATTTATCATTTTTATCTGATTTTTCCACTATTAATTTCATTTTATTAGATCATTGGTGTCATTAGTATTTCTTGTCTACATTAACAACCTTTGTTATTTCAGTGGCCACATAGAGTGTGCTCCATAAATACTGGACACATTAATTATGGGCATTTTCACAAGTAAACAAATAGCCACATAATGCATAGGATACCATCACTCACACCAGTTTTGCTTTATTTAGTTATTTAAAATATTATTGAAATAAAGGAATGTGAAGATTCTCAGAGGCTTAATTTTTGTTATGCAAAACAAGAAAACCAAGACACAGGTTCAGGGGATTCTTTGAGTTACACTGTGTCAACATTCAGTTTAAAAAACAGAAAACGTCTTCCCCAGTTGGCACAGGCAGTTGAGCACTGCACTGTGAAGCTGTCTGCAGCCTCTGCAGTATGGGTTCAATCCCGGCCAGGGAGAATACCACATGGCACAGCAGACCTCTCCTGTCTTGCCCGCTGCTCCCCTCAGCAGTGTATTTCAGTCGATCTGCCTGTTCTGTTCCCCACTCTGTCTTGGGTGAATCCTCTCACCCTTCCGCACATCTGGCCTTTACCCCAGTTCTTGTATAAAAATAAATAAATCTTTTAAAAAAGATGAAAAATAAAATAAATAAAAAAGAGAAAACAGTGAAGGCAAGAGGTTAGTAAAGTTCTGGGTCCTGGTTATATTTTTATTTTGAGGAAAATAAAGCAAACAAAGGCACATGGGTGCCCTTTCACTTAGAAGAAGCTTAGGGAGGCCATTCAACTAGTAGTGGGTGACCTCACACCCCTACATGTCTTCAAACTCTAAAGTCAGGTCCGAGAGAAGCGGGGAGAGAGATGAGGAAGGGTGAAAGGCAGCAGACAACTTTGTAAGTTCAAAATTTCTGTTTTCCCTTTCAGCACAAATTGAAGTGATACCATGCAAAATTTGTGGCGATAAGTCTTCCGGGATCCACTACGGAGTCATCACGTGTGAAGGCTGCAAGGTATGGGGGTTCAACAAAGCACTGCCCACAACATGAGTTTGGCCAGGGTCCCTTGATGTACCTCACCATGTACACAGCGACACATTCAAAGAAAGCCTGTGAATTCTAGCTTGAGGGCTAGAATGGTTGGTTGACTTTCTGTTGGTTGACTTTCTGTTCTTTTGTCTCTCATTTTTTTTATATATATATTATCTAGCTGGTCAACAGCTGCTTTAAAATGGATTCTTATTTAAGAGTTGAATTATTCACATTTAAAATGTTCTAAAATATTGACTTGCTGTTTTAACAGTTTTGTCTCTAGTAAACTCCAAGGCATTTATTACTGTCTGAAAGAATTGAAGGTTAAAATAAAGATTATAGACTAATGGGCTTATGTTTCCTTAGTTACCTGAGAAAGAAGTTGGGGCAACAGTTGCAATATGCACATAGCCATTTTTTATTCTCACATTCCTAAAAAATAAATAAAAATTATAAGCATTAAATGCTAGAAGCAAACCAGATTATGTACCCCAATCTTCTCATTTTTCAATGAGATCCTGGGGTATAAACAAGTTTATGCAACTTGGCCAATGTCACTGACGCAGTGAACGAGAAAGCAAGGCCAATGCAGAGTTTTTTCCTTTTTTTCAGTGTTTCCCTCCAGGCTAGAGTCAACCAATCTTTTGAAAACAAATGAATGTTTATGGGTGTAATGCTTTAAAAATACAAAGCTGAGTGAAGAGCAGTTAAGATAGAACAAATCTGAATTAAGAAAAATTAAGTTTTTAAAATTAATCCTTAGACAAAGAAAGCATGAGAGACTAAATGTCAAGGGAGAAATACATAATTTCTATAATTTTAAGGGGCAGCATGTAACCAGAATAAATAAAATGGAGATACAGTCTGGGAGGGAGAAGTGATATGTTGGCAAAATAATTGAAAACAATTGTTTTTGATCAAAGTTGCAAGCAAAGTGAATCATTAATTTAAGGTCAATCATTAATTTAAACTAAAGGAATTGGAGCACAATCATAATTTCTAAGTCTTCAGAGGCTTCCAAATAAAAATGAAACCAAACATACTGAAATGCAAGTGGTGCTGTGTGAAAAGTTGAACAGTGTCTCAACAATATTCTCAAAAAGCAAACAAACAAACAAAAAGATTCCTGGAATTGAAACTGGAGGGACGAAAAGAAAAAGAAATAAATTAAAATGAGGGAGGGATGCAGAGGGGGGAGAATAACTTTAAAAGGTAACCCATCAGTGACCTGCTGTAAAGGTGACTAAGAAACAACCCGTGTTAGGACATCATGAGTTGCCCTGCATTGTTAAACACCTAAATGTAATTTTTCCAACTCATTGAAAGATGCAATAAGGTAAAATTATAAATCAGCAAATGTTTATCCTCCTAGAATAAGTTATTGCTTCTCAGAGAAAGAGTTTTTTTCATAAACACCAATAATTTAGGAACCAGAATCTTCTCCAGTGAAAGCATTTCTGCCACTATGTTGGTGTATTGTGTAATTTTAAGAGCTTTGGTCTAGTCTGCATAGTATTAACAAAAAATATGTTTTTTAGATCAATGTCAAAGTGAAGCTGTTTTGTGTTTCACTGTATAAATTATATATAAGAAATGTCTGATTTCAAAATATGAGAATTTGTTCATGTTAACAAGCAAAACATTTTAAACAATAACTTCCAAAAGATTCAACTACTGAACAAACATATTCCAAAAGGTCAATAATCAGAAACAAGTGTTTAGGATCCTGCCATCTTTTCTTTTTTTAAGGAGGAAGCCAAAATCAAAGAAATTATGTGTTTATTCTGAATCATTCTTTGAAGTTTTAGTTAAAATGATTTTGTACACCACTTGTTTTTTTAACTTCATGGAAAGACCCACATTTGCAAATATGCTACATCTTTCTCCAAATAGAAAACTCAAGAAATTCTATTCCACATAAGATGTCAATGTCAGCTCATTTAGTACCAACCTCTGAATTTTCATAATACTGTTTCCAAATCAACAAAAACAATCCATTTTTAAATGACATCAGTTTAGTGTGTGCACTTATTCAGATTCCTATTCACTCAATAAAATTTGAAACAATCTCTTTTCTGTGCCAAAAACCTCATTTGTAATAATGAGCAACAGAAAAGCAAGAAATGCTCACAATTCATGTCAAATTAGCCTTAAATTAAGATTGTAGCTATGATTTCAGAAAAATCTTTATCAACTCTTTTGCCAAATGGCAGTGGCATATCCAAAGAGAAAAAGCACCCAATTCTTTCTTCAAATGTAAATTCCACATGACCTTTAATCCAGACAGAAGGGTTGAGGTCATGCTTTCTGATAGTTTTCATGGTATTTGAAGTACATCATTTCAATCTCTGAGGACTTGGGCAGGATCTCTATTTTTAGGAACTCCATAAATTCATTCAAACTAGACAATCTGATATTTCATTCTGCCACACTTGTCCACCAAATAAATAATGCACATGAATATGTGAGCACAAAAATAGTTCTTGTTGGATAACTTGGGTCTTACAACCATAAATCCCTGTGGCTCTTTCTCTCTGGGAAGATACTTGGCCACACATCCATTCCCTAGGCCCTTCACAAGGTTAGGTTCTCTCTACAGATCCCTGCCTACTCATATAGAAGCATGAGACAAAAGGGAAGGCAATCGTCTCAATCCTGTATTTGTATAAACTTTCGGGGCTGTTTTATTTTTTTTTTGCATTGATGTTTATTTTTAACATAGCTTGTTAAAACATTATTTATCTTTATTATCAAGTCTTTTAGTAACCTCCTCAATTATGAGATCAAGGAGATTGCCTCACTTTCTCATCCGAGTACTGGCCCTATTCTTTGCTTTTGATGATTATCAAAGAATCTCAGAAGATATTTGATAGAAGTCAAGTGGCCACTTCCAGGTCTCACAGCAAGATGGACATTGGACTTTCCATCTCAGAACTTTTCCAGGCTTTTTTCTTTCAAAAGATGATAGCTTTTCCTAAAATTTTCCTTGGTAAATTTCTTATAGAACATCACTTTGCTCGCAGCACTTTGTACTTCAGCTGTACCACAATTCAAGAGCAAAGAGTAAAGAAACAGACTAAATGGGTGAATGATATTTTTACATCTCTGGAAAAAAGGTTTATTTTCCCTCATAGATTTTCTGTAAGTTAACTAAGGCTATATCCAAATGATTAGAATAATAATTATAAACTCAGCAGTGGATTTATTTGGAAGGGTAATGTGTGGTCCAAGGCAGTTTATTTTGTACCAGAAGGTGCCCAACTTACTTGCATTAATGACCTCCTCTATCAGGATAGTCTGAGGCCAAGCATTAGTTCCAGTTTTTACTTATTGCTTACTTTATGATTCACAGTTTACATTTCATATTTCCTTTATTCAAAGATACGGTTAGTTATAAGGTACATCATTGGTTTAAAAAAAACATCTTTCAGATGCATTCTGACTAAATTCAAAAATTTCAAATGTTGTAAGGTACATCATAGAGAATAGGAAGCACACGCTGAGCCTATACTTCTCAGTACTGCTATTGCTACTGTTATAGGACAGGGAGAGGGGCAGCCCAAACCCCGCAAACCTGCCTATTCTAAATGGGTTCTGCCATCCGCCGCATCAACACAAAACATAGGACACTTTAATGGGAAGGATCTTTAATAAAAACTAGGAAACAATACAGGAAAGGCAAAGAGTCTAGTTTCTAAATGAAGCACCCAAAGTTACCCGTCCCCTCGTGGGTAAAAGTCCATCCAAATGGGATTGGCCCAGAACAAGGCCCCAAAGCCTGCCACAAGTCTAAAGCATCTTCCAGTGGGGACCCACAGAAAAGAGTCAGAAACAACCAAACAAGCCCGGAAGGAAAAGAGCAAAATCAACATCAAGATAAAAGCTGCCATGGTCACCTCCCCACGGGTCTCACCCACATCTGTGTCACCTAGTCCACGACCAAAAGACAAGCGCAGTTTCTTCACGTGTCTCTAGGCTCCATGTGCCTCCTCCAGGTCTCCTGGCTCCATCCTGCTTCCTTCCTTCCTCAGTCTCTTCTCCAGCTTCTCTTCTTCCTGCTCAGCTCCACCCTTCCTTGGGTGGGGCAGGGAACCTGGAACCTCCCCCTTTCCTGGGGACCACCCTGTTACAATCCCCCCTTTTAATTTTTATTCCACCATATCTATGGTGGCACAGATGTCATGGTGTAATCTTAGGAGACAGTCTTTTTTAGGGTTACAATGTGTATAAGAGAAGCAACAATTAGTCAGCAGCATTGTCTATGAATGTCCAGTATGACAGTTTTCCATTCTGAAAAATAGTCCATTATACAAGCCAAAAGAAAAAAAATTGGAGCGTTAGCTAAAACAAGACAGCAAATATATCAAAATCACAGGGAAAAAATGTTAAAATGGTTCAACTTATGCAAAAACGAATTCTCTCAACCTTGATCCCAAACTTTAACAGCATAGCAAAAGTTTGCAAATTAAATTTACTTTTAAACCATTTTTTTCTATTTTTGCATAAAATCACAGGGCAGAAATAACTAACAGCAATTTTTAGCTGGCTTTGTTGAAATACTCCATACAGGATCAGAGCGAACCGGTGGCATCCAGTCGATGTATGCTTCAGGTATAAAGTTGGTCTCATCAGACTCCACCTGGGCTTTCCTCTTCTCGAGGGTACCAGGGCATTTTCGTTGGCCGGGTTGTCCAGTCCTGCCAATGGAGGCAAGCTTCCTCACCTTCTTTGGAGGTCTCTGGAACCCTACAAACAAGGCAAACAGGTTCTCCTCTTGTTGGTTCAGCTCTGTTTCGACTTTTGGAAGAACTCCACACAAAGCCACACAATCAAACTCACGTCCAATTTTTGTTAAAACAGACAAAATCCCTATGGAAGTTATGCAAAAACAGACTCTAAGATAAGTAGCAAAAATTACTACCACTATTTGTATGCTGTGTTGGTATCAAGGGGAGAGAAAATGTGACAAGTTAGCTTTGCTGGAAAAAATTGCAACCTTGATGCAGATCCTGGTTACTCAAAACAAAACAAAACAAAACTTTGTGGATTCAGGACAAAATGCATATAAAAATTACCAGTATTATGTCAAAGAAAACTTGTAAATGTCAGGTGTATTTCCAGGTCTATTCAGTCCTTTGTAGTAAAGTTTTTACTCTTAACAGTTCCATCTATAGTAATCTGTTGAGACCTTTTCTCCCTATATTTTCAGAAACAATTCCTGTAGATATTAAACAATTGAAGTATACAATATTACAAGGTGACAATCATCATTGACAATTTACATCCATATCAGGTCAAGGTGTTATTACCCGTTTACCCAAGTGACAATGCTTCCCTTCTAGTTTTACTCTACTAGGTGAGCCAAATAGAACAAATTCATCTAATTCCTTCCCAGGAGGAAAGGGAGAAACTTTGTGGAGTGTCTCAGGAGCTCTACTGAGGTTCCACAAAATTTCCTTGCATCAGCCAAATGACAGGCTACCAAATTTGTACTTGAATTTAGATTTCTGGGAAGCTTTGCCATAAATATCAGAAAAGTAACAGAAACAACAATATTCAATCTCTATGAAGGCACCGGCTTAGTTCAGTAGCACAAGGTTGACAATCAAACCATAACTTTTTGTTTTTCTCATAACTTGAGACTCTTTTTTTCTTTTTTTTTCCCAATGTCTATGGGCACCATGTATACCAATTTGTCAATCACTGGAGGTCAAGACAGTTAGACACAAGGACATACAGACATACAACGTATAGACAAAGACAGTTTTTTTTAGTTATGCCACGTGGAATGTTATGTAACTGCAGTTTTACTCCATAGGCTCAGAAAAAAAATATCAAAGTCCAAAAAAAAATGTGGAGTGTTGCTGGCAGAAAAATTTCCAGTTGTCATCCTGCAAACCTAAGACTTTGGAAATAGGAAGGAAAAGTTTTATTAATCACAGGAGTTACATGACCTTGTTTATCACCTTAGGGTTTTCAGTGTTGAAGACTTTTTGTTAGAAGTCAATCCTGGGGTATTCTGTACAGCAACTGAAAGAATAAAAGTTAACTTTCAAGCAAAAGGAGTCATCTCTTGTTAGCCACCACGCAGGCACTCCTTGGGTTTCCTGGAATAGAACCCGAAAAAGCAAAATCAAAATATCAGTAATTAACTTTCAATTAAAAGGAATCATCTCCTTACTTCTGTTAGCCACTCTGGGACAGAAGCTGAAAGAGCAGATTAAACATCTAAGCACAGATTACACCTCCCCCACACTAGGGAGGGACAACAACAACACAGGTATGAAAACCTGGTATAGTTACATGATGCACCCTAAAGAGTGCTTTCCATAACAGTCCTTCCTCAGTAGGAAGCAGAAACTTAGAATCTTGTCTTACACCAGCAATTGAACAAATTCAGGATTCAAAATGGCAAACATGCCCAAAACAAATCGTGTACACAAAATTCACAGCAGCAAATCCTATCAGACTCAGACAAAATCTTGTTAATTTTTCTGATCCAGACTTTGCAAAAATTCAAGTTATCTCCAAGAATCCATCAAGGATACCAGCAATTACCAGTTACTGCTTAAGGCTACTCTTTCCTTAACACCCAGGCATACATTTGCTAATTTGAACACCACTGCTCCACAGTTGGCTTGCAAAACCGGTCAGACACAGGGCAGGAAGTAGTCAAAGACAAAGCAACATACCACTGAAGAACCATTATTGCCTTTAGAAATGCTAATGAGACAGCAGAGATTACAAAAAGAAAGAAAAAAAAAGTTCCAAGTGGCCTCAGACGCCATCTTTGATCTGGCCACATGGTCCAATGTACTGCCTAATCTTTTGAGTAAAACTGGCACAGAACAATTTCCACAAAATCAAATGTCTTAGCAAGTCACTACAAACAAATTACATACAGACACACAGATCTTCACAAAGCCCAAGCCAGTTTTTTTTTTTTTTTTTTTTTTTTACCACCTTTCCTTGCAGTAAAATCAGTTTTCTTCTATTTCCTCTTTTTACAAAGAACCTGTTTTTTTTTTTTCTTTTCCTCTGCCAACATTGTCAAACACCTTGAATGTACCAAGATTATATTCTATTAGAAAAAAAAAAAAATCATTTTCGAGGAACTATTCCTCTTTTACCAGTTTTTTTTAAATTTTTTTCCATTGAAAGTTTTTATTTTTTTTTTTTATTTTTTTTTTAATTTTTTTATTATTATTTTTTTTTTAAATATTAAATTTTATTTTTATATTCCCCCATACAATTGCAAACGCCCCATTCTGACCCCAATCCTTCCCCTCCCGCCCCCCACCCCCCAAAAAGTGTCTCTGGTTCATAGTTTTTTGTTGATTTTGATTTTCAATTTCTTATATTCATTTTCCTGGTCCCTTATTTAAGTTTTCTAGATTCCTGCTATGAGTGAGACCATCCGGTATTTTTCTTTTTCTTTTTGGCTTATTTCGCTGAGCATGATCCCTTCCAGTGCCATCCATGTTGCTGCAAATTGCATGTGTTTATCTTTTTTGAATGCTGAGTAATATTCCATGGTATGTATGTACCACATCTTCTTGATCCAGTCATCTATTTTTGGGCATTTGGGTTGTTTCCAAAGCTTAGCTATTGTAAACAGTGCTGCTATAAACATAGGAGTGCAGGTGCTCAAGCCAGTTTTTCAACAGCAAATCGACATATGAAACAAACACACCGGAGAAACCAAAAATCACATTTGCGCTTATGGTAGCCAGTGCCATAGGGAAGCCCAATTTCCCCATGGGGCTGACTAACCACGGATGGCTCTGTCCTAAATCACGTTGGACGCCAAATCTGTTATAGGACAGGGAGAGGGGCAGCCCAAACCCCGCAAACCTGCCTATTCTAAATGGGTTCTGCCATCCGCCGCATCAACACAAAACATAGGACACTTTAATGGGAAGGATCTTTAATAAAAACTAGGAAACAATACAGGAAAGGCAAAGAGTCTAGTTTCTAAATGAAGCACCCAAAGTTACCCGTCCCCTCGTGGGTAAAAGTCCATCCAAATGGGATTGGCCCAGAACAAGGCCCCAAAGCCTGCCACAAGTCTAAAGCATCTTCCAGTGGGGACCCACAGAAAAGAGTCAGAAACAACCAAACAAGCCCGGAAGGAAAAGAGCAAAATCAACATCAAGATAAAAGCTGCCATGGTCACCTCCCCACGGGTCTCACCCACATCTGTGTCACCTAGTCCACGACCAAAAGACAAGCGCAGTTTCTTCACGTGTCTCTAGGCTCCATGTGCCTCCTCCAGGTCTCCTGGCTCCATCCTGCTTCCTTCCTTCCTCAGTCTCTTCTCCAGCTTCTCTTCTTCCTGCTCAGCTCCACCCTTCCTTGGGTGGGGCAGGGAACCTGGAACCTCCCCCTTTCCTGGGGACCACCCTGTTACACTACCAATACCTCAATCTCTTCACCCCCACAGCACCGGGATAAGCTTATGTTGGTATCCCCATCGGGTTTTATCATATTTAGCTGAGCAGTGATGCTCCTTTGCCAGTCCTTCCCCACTGCTCCTTAAGGACGGAAACTCAGTTCTGGTTTATTTTACCAAGAATAGTGTCTTTTGTCAACATTGAATGAATGAATGATTCATTCATAATGTGCAGATAGTACATATTTTTTCCAGTAAACAATCTGTAAACTATTTAAGAAGAGGTAGCCATAGAATTTCCAAAAATTAACTCAGTATTCACAGTAGAAAATGTATCAATTGTATAAATGATGGTCTCTGTTTCCCTTCTTTTAAACTTACCTACTCCATTCTCTTTTTCCCTCCAGGGGTTCTTTAGAAGGAGCCAGCAGAACAATGCCTCTTACTCCTGCCCGAGGCAGAGAAACTGTTTAATTGACAGAACCAACAGAAACCGTTGCCAACACTGCCGACTGCAGAAGTGTCTTGCCCTAGGAATGTCGAGAGATGGTAAGGCATTGCCTTCCTATTTCTTACTTTACACGGCTTTCAAATGGATGACTTGCTAGAGCCTTTTTAAGTCACCTGAATATTTCTAGGCAAGCGAATTAAGGATAAAAAAGATGAGGCACAGCGAATTGTTAGTGCAATATGAGGAAAAGGAGGGAGGGCCGCACAGAGAGAGAGAAGGGAAAGAAGGAAGGAAATACTTCTAGTTTTAAAGAAACATAGATAATTGGCATGCACTGTCTCTTGGTATAAAGGGATTTTATGAGTTATTAAATTAAATGTGGGGCCTTTTCGTCATCTGAATAAATTCAGTTCTGCTTGCATTGTCCAAATAGTTATAGCTTGAATATTTGTTTATCTTTTCTTTAATTCCTAATCCACCTAAACTTGTCTTGCCCAAAAGTAGACCTATGAGACAAAATTCCCCCCAAATTTTAAAAGAATATGTCCTGAACCCTTCAGTGCTTAGGTAGCTTGTAAATGTTAACTCCTAAAATTTTTCTATGACTAACTGATTTTTTTGTTTATTTGGTTTTCTAGACTCATGAATGACATAAATTTACTCCTGGGATAAATTTATAGCTGTACTTCCATTTAACTAAAAGGAAGAAAGTAGAAGCTGGGAATTAAGTGATTTTCAGGATTTTTTTAGTGAAGGTCTATGGGGATCTGAGTTGATGATTTTGTACCTCCTTTCTACCATAAGGAGGGAGCATGTTAATTGACAGTATCTGAAAAAGTCCCATTCATAATTGGACAGAATGAAAAAGTCATCAGGTTTTTGTCTTTGTTACTTCTTCCTTCAATAAAAATGTATCTCCCTGAAGGGCAAATGTTGTGGGTAAACGGAATCATGCATGAGAGATGGGCATATAGTACAAAGCAGATTCACCATCATCAGCCCACAAAGGAGATAGTATGAATCACATGACATAAAAGATATGTGGGCCCCTTTTTGGGGAGAGGATCCATTTAATGGATCTCTATCTGTTAGATCTCTATCAGATCTACCACCAGCATGAGCATGTAGATGTCTATGATGTAAAAGGAATACATTGTCTACAGACACTGGGGATTAAAGATAAAGATCCAACTTAATTTTAACAAAGACAATCCTGGGGCTGCCAGAGTCATCTTCCAAATGTCTATCTCTTATGTCAAACTAAGGGTAAGTAGTAATGCTCAGGGGTGAAAGGGAATGATGAAAAGAAGGGATTCAAGCAGAAGGAAAAAAATCTTCCTTACTATGTTTTATAGAGCAAGTTTTATCTGAGTCTTAATTATGAAGGATACATTATACAAAAACTATACTAATACTGGGGAAACTTTTTAAAATTATATTTTTGAGGTAATGTTGACTTGCAACACTGTATATGTTTAACGGTGTACACCATACAGAAGTATGTCATCATACCATGCCCACCCCCAAAGCCCCAATAACCTGCTACCACAGTTCACTGGGACTCCTTCCCCTTTTGATCCTCCCCTCCCTAGCAATCAGATTTTCAGGTAATCTCATTCCAGCAATCAGATTTCAAGGGTTTATTTTGTTTTAATTTTTTTGTTGTTCCTTTGTTTTTCATATGCCACACGTGAGTAAAATTAACCAGTATTTGTCTTTCTCTTTCTGACTAATTTTGCTTGGCATAATCCCTTCTGGTTCCAACTACGTTGTCACAAATACCAAGATTTCATATCTTTTTAGAGTTGAATAGTATTCCATTATGTATATATGCCACATCTTCTTAATCAATCCCTTTGTCATTGGGCACTTGGGTTTGCTTCCATAGCTTCTCTGTTGTAAATGATGCTACAATGAACGTAGGAATACATATATTCCTTCATTTAGTGTCTTTGCATTCTTCAGATAGATATCTAGGAAAGAGACTGCTGGATCACATGGTAGATCTGTTCTTAATGTTTTGAGAAACCCCCATACTGTTTTCCACAGAGGTTGAATTAATCTGCATTGCCACCAACAGTGTATGAGTGTTCCTTTTTCACCACACCCTCACCAACATGTGTTGAAACTGAACAAATTTTGTCTCCATTGATTAATAATGCCTAGTGTGCAGTCTTGAAGGAGTGAAAACCCTGAAGTAATGGTTGGTTAGCTACTTCTGGTAAGGATTCAAGAATGAGAGGTAATGTTTTCCCTCCCACTAATGCATTATATGTATCTCCTACTGATTAAGCGATTATTGTCAAAGTGCTCTAGCAGTAGTAATAGTAGCCACAGTAAATTGCCTTCACAGTCAACTTCTTTCTGCTCACATTCTGCCCACCTTACTTCAGACTTAAAGTGGCATCTTCATTTTGATATTTGCATTGACTCTCTGTCAGTTATGCCTGATTCCAAGAACATGTACTTCACCATACTTGGTCACTGAAAAAAGCATAGCTACTAGGAGATAGTAGTTTATTAGCCATCACCACTTATTAGTAGACAACAAATTCAGCAATAATGAATTTGTTCAAATTTATCTTAGGAATAGAAGAAAATTTCAAACCTATTGGGACTACATAGACATATGTTTTTGTGTATAAAAAGGTAAAGGTATGCCTGTGCTCGTGTGTGTGTGTGTGTGTGTGTGTGTTTGAACTGATAAAATATATGTTCTCACTGAACTTTCTCCATTATCCTATTTATTTTTCCTTTAAGCAAACCCTTAATAAATGTTCAATGCAGGAATCTTCAGCATAAATTATTTCCAAGTGTTACTATAGATAAACAAGTTTAAAAGAACAGCAAAGTATTTACTATCATTAGGAAAATATGGGATCCCAAAGAAAATATGATAGCCACCTTGCTATAATTAAGTATAGGTTCTCCTACATGGCAAGTCTTTGTGGATAAAAATGGAAATTGCCTTTACAAGGATAGGTTTCATACTTTGGCTGCTGTTATGTAGAAATTCATTGTCCAATGTGGCATCTGCTTGTCATGATTTAAATTTAAATTAATTAGAATTTTTTAAATATAAAAATTCATTTCTTCAGAAACACTGTATTTCCCATACTCAAGAGCCACAAATGACTGTGGCTACCATGCTGACAGCATGGGGAATATCCCATCATCACAGGAAGTTCTATTGAGAAGTGAGGGGGATGAGAGAGAATATTTATAAAGCAATAAACAGTGTTGGGTAGGTTGAATCAGACTTTTTCTACTAAACTTAGAGAACTATAAAAAAGAAAGGCACATCCCTGAAATTTAACAGTTAAATTAAGACCAGTTTCCTTGGTAAGAAGCAAGATGTAAAAATAATTTCCAAATTGACTCTGGAAAGTCATAGATAATATTTCTACAATTGGGTTCTTTTGAAACCAGAAACACATGTCTAGTCGTCATGTGATAATAAATAAAAATCTTTGAAGAAACAATGACTTTGTTTTATAGTTACTCCAAAAACTTCCATTCCATGTGGAATCCTACAATCCAAATAAATATGAAAAGATTTCCAGTACTTTTGTGTGGAATCAAAATGAGGGTTAAGAGCATGAACAAATACCATCATCACTGAATATTTATAAAGCACTTGCAATGTATACGGAATTTGCTAGTGTCTTCAAGAGCTAGCAGTTTAACAAGAGGCTGCCTCTATACTCAAGTGAACCTCATTAACAGAATAATTCAAGTTTAAGAGGGGCAAACACTTAAAATATGTGCCATTCTGATTAATAGATGGTAGCTAGAAGAATGCCAGTACTTGAAAATATAATAGTACTATATAGCCTTTGTTAACAATAGATTCAATAAACATATTTACAAATAGTGGCAAAGAATTATATTTCAGATTTATTTTTGCCATGCATTGTAATTTTCCAATATGTCATCATTTTTACCATAGGAAGGGGCATACACTGACTAATCAGTGTTTCTAAAATGAATTAAAAGTTCATTCTGAAATTGTACATAGTAATTGTCAGCAAAGTCCTTGATTTGAGATGATGCTGGTGGTTCCAAAATGTATTGGAACTTTAAGTTGTTGCTCTGAAAATACTTCAGTTGCTCAATGACTGAGAAGTCAATTTCTTGGAAAAAAACCTAACTATTCCTCATTGAGGATTCAGATGTTTACCAAGGCAGAGGATTTAATAGAACATTTCTGGAGATTATTAAATTTGATTATGATATTGGTAGTTTACAGTAGAATTTTGAACCTAAAATTGTTGAATGTAAGATTTTTGACTAGACTCTTTCATTCTTCTACCATCAGCTGTTGCCAGTCTGTGCCTCTGCTGATTATGGATGGCCTTGTCAGTCATGACTGAGTAGCTTGGCTTTGCTACACTTTCTTTTCCTCAAGCAAGCTACTTTAGGTTTTTCATGGTGAGACACTCAAGCTTACAAGCACTTTTGATGCCTCTGTTTGTGTCACATATGTCAATATCCCATTGGCAAGTCACAAGACTCTGTATCAGGGTTAGGGCAGGATACTTACAAGATGATAGGACATTGCAGATTTACATGGGAAAGAACATGGGACTATGTGAGAGGAATCAGAACCATGAATGGGACCAATCCACAGAATGTATATTTCAGCTAAATATAGAGCACACAGAAGTCTAAAGCAAGAACTAAATGCAAAAGGGTCTCAAAAACACTGTATTTCTTTCTCCATGTTAGAAGAATTTCTCATTCTTGAATATTTTTTTCTCCTTATGGATTTTAAACAAATACAAAACTAGTCTATTCAAGTAAATCAGAAAACATACTCTGGCCAAAATAAAATTCTTAATCTGTAGCAATAGATACAAATTTTGTATCCCCCACTATAGCTCTTTAAAGAGCTGTTTTGAGCCTACATGAGCACAAAGGATAGGAAGTCAGCAAATAAAGAAGAAATGTCACATTTTCTTGGGGAAAAGAAAGTTCTTTCTGAATCAAAATTGTCCATGGTTAATTTTTTTTGTTAAAAAAAATTTCCCTATAGAATTATATATAGTAAATTATTTGGGAAAATATAAAGGTACCAAGAAAGTTTACCCTAAAAGTTACTATAGAACTCTGTTCACAGATGAATTGAAATACCATTGCAATTAGTAAACCAGTAAATTTGTCTGAGAAACAGAATTTAATAAGAACAGTGTCTCTATAAACAAAGCTAAACACAATGATCTAAATGACTCAAGTCCCTATAAAAATGACAATTGAGGTGGAAAGGGGAATTTGGTCTGAATTAACCAGATTAACTGTCTTCATTCAGAAAAATTACTGGATAATTACCACTTTGTTTTCCTACTTAGGCAGCATCAGAAAGCCCTAATACAAGTTTTTTTTAAGACTTATTTATTTATGCATACAAGAACTGGGGTACAGGCCAGAGGTGCGGGGGGGTGAGAGGATTCACCAGAGACAGAGTGAGGAACAGAACAGGCAGATTGACCGAAACACACTGTTGAGGGGAGCAGCAGGTGAGACAGGAGAGGTCTGTCTCGCCCACCATGTGGGAATCTCCCTGGCCGGCCAGGAATCGAACCCGCACTGCAGAGGCTGCAGACAGCTTCACAGCGCTACTCTCAACCTGCTGCACCACCGGGAGGCCCCTATGCTAGAGTTCTTTAGCACTTCACCAACCTTAGAGATTGAATCTGGTAACTGGACCTAATTCTACCCTCCACCCTATTCTCTACATTCTCTGAGTGCCCAACACCAACAGGAGATGGAAATACTGTCACAGAAGAAAATAGAAACTCAGAGGGAACCTCCATGTTTGTCATAGATCTTACCATTAACAAGAGCTGAACAACCTAGTGCTTGATGATTCAGACAAGATGGCCACTTGAATCAGGATGTTCACAAAGATGGAAGTTGACAGCTTGTGAGGAAAAATATCAATATCCATACAGTTTAGGAAGTTAAGTTCTATAAGAAACAATACATTCAGATCAAAGCATCTTCATATTACTCTGAAATCTCACAGTGCCTCTTCCCCCTTTTTCTCTCAGAACAGCTAAAGGTTTTGCTAGAAGAGATAGGGAGTGTGCAGCTTGCAATAATAAAAGGAAGGAGGGGCAGTTACTGTTGGCTCACTTATTGGGCATTGGATGCATAAAATTGCTATTTTCCAAAGATGCTTACACTTAATCCCAAAAGTAAACTGAAGGCAAATGATTTGGCTCACTTAAAATTGTGTTTACCACCCTCCCCAACAATCCTTGGGGGTGTAAGGAGCTCATAAAGAGTTTCAGGGCCTCCCTGGTGGCGCAGGCAGTTGAGTGCAGTGCTGAGAAGCTGTCCGCAGCCTCTGCAGTGCCAGTTCAATCCCAGCCAGCCTTGGAGCAACCCACATGGTGAGCAGACCTCTCCTGCTGAGCCCGCTGCTCCCCTCAGCAGTGTGTTTCAGTCGGTCTGCCTGTTCTGTTCCCCACTCTCTCTCTCTGGTGAATCCTCTCACCCTCCTGAGCCTCTGGCCTGTACCCTGGTTCTTGTATAAATAATATAAATCTTAAAAAAAAAAAAAAGAGTTTCAGTTGACATTTTAATAGCTTTTTTTGTTTTTTGTGGGTTTTTTTTTCCCCCACAAAAAAAATCACTTTTAACTTCATGGCATCAAAAATCACCTAAGTATTTACATTTCTTCCTAATTTAGATTTAGTCCTCAATTTGCACATAAACCAGTACAGATGCCCCTGAATATAACCGTTCCCCAGACATGGAATGTGTGAGAATGGATTCTTGGACTAAGGTGCTAAGAGTCTGTTTACTTGAAGTTGAAGGCACAACCATCATGACCCCTTGGACTTCAGCCATTTTACAAGAATGATAACCACAGGTGCTGTTTTCTGCTTTTCTCTCCAACCCAGCTGTGAAGTTTGGGAGGATGTCCAAGAAACAAAGGGACAGCCTTTACGCCGAGGTGCAGAAGCACCAGCAACGGCTGCAGGAGCAGCGGCAGCAGCAGAATGGAGAGGCAGAAGCCCTTGCCAGGGTGTACAGCAGCAGCATCAGTAACGGCCTCAGCAACCTGAACAATGAGGCCAGCGGCACTTATGCCAATGGACATGTCATTGACCTGCCCAAGTCTGAGGGTTATTACAATGTGGATTCCAGCCAGCCGTCCCCTGATCAGTCAGGACTTGACATGACTGGAATCAAACAGATAAAGCAAGAACCTATCTATGACCTCACATCTGTCCCCAACTTGTTTACCTATAGTTCTTTCAACAACGGGCAGTTAGCACCAGGGATAACAATGACCGAAATCGGTAAGTAGACATCCACTCCCGGTTCATCTTTGGAAATTCTGATTTGAGATTGCCTTGGTCCTTTTTAGTATCATCATTTTCTTAGGTTTAAGTTGAATTACTTGCATTCATGGTTTCTAGTGAGAAAACTAAAAAATTTAAAAATATATTCTAATAGTTGTCATTGTTTCCTACCCCATAAAAGTTTATTTCAAGGAAAGGAAGAATGAAGAAATTGAAAATAGAAAGATGCTATCTGTAAAGAACAGATGCTGTCTGGAAAATTTAGGTTCATCTCTGAAGGAAAAATGTTATTGGTATAAACAGGAAAATTTGAGCAAGTATTTAAATTTGAGCAAGTATTTAAAGTGAAATACATAGGGAGAGAGAAGCCGTCTGTAACAGGGTTCCAGCTCTTCCTCTTAAGATAACTGGGAACAAGCCCTATGTAACTGGTATCTCAGTTTCCTTTGTTGTTAAGGCAGAAAGGTAAATCTGAATTCAAGAATTCTACATAGGAATAGTCTTCATTATTGGCAATAGAGTGTAGTCTGGAATGTTGTAGAAACTAAGAGCAAACTCTGACCCTTCTCCCACTGCAGTGTCTTCACATCCTAAGTTGTGGTATTCCAGAAGGTGTATCCTCGGCGTGCTCTCTTTTTGACCTGTCACGACTTTGTTTTACCCTGTTAAGCTCAGCAGTCTATTAAATGTTTAACCACTTGATCTCATTAACTGCACAAAAATATTGATAGAGGAATTCCCTTCCAGTGTAAGGGAATTGCTAGTGAACAGCAGCCTAGAAGAACTGAACAGTTTTTCTGTTACCCAGCTTCATGGCAGCATTATCATCATTTCATGAGAATGCTAATGAGAAAGAAACAATCCAGTTGACATTAAGTGAAAGGGCATTTGAAGGATCTGCTTTTGTTATACATCACTTCACTTCAAATTGCAGTTTCCAAAAACCTGTTAAGGAGGGTAAGTGAGGACTTACAGTAAGGGGGGAAGCAATCCTGAGGTCTGGAACTTTCAAGGCTTCCTCATGTCCCTCCTAGTTAGGTTGCTGAGAAGACTGCTCAACAACTGACTTCCTGGGTTCAAATCCTGGCTGTGTCTTATTATTTGAGCTGGAACAAGTTTCTCTTCCCAGTTCATTTATCTTTAAAAAGGTAAAAGTATTAGCTCCTAACACTTGGCTGTTGTAAGAATTAAATGAGTTAATACTGGTAAAACAGAGCAATATTTGGCACTCAGCAAGTCTCAGAAACTCTTAGCTGTTATTATTTGTATACCATGTGCTTAGTCACCTTCTCTGTCTAAACTGTGAGTAGGAGCCAAAAGCCTACGAGTGTTTTAAATAAAGTTGATGTGAACATATAATTAAATACATGCCATATGTATCTTGGCTACTTCTACCATCTGGTTGAGGAAGAAGGGATGTTACACAGTTCTAAAACCTGAAATGTTATTTCCTCTCTTTAGCAATTCAGCATGTGGCAGTGAGTAAAGACGCTGTTGACAAAGCAGCACCTGTAATGACATTCACAACTGACAAAGAAAAGTAAACATGATTTAACAAAAACATTCATCATTACTGCCATCCTCTTAACCTTGGTTTCTGACTATGTCACAGGTTCTTCACACACATTTAATTTTGACAAGCACGTTATAAAAGTAACAATATTACTCCCATTTTACAGATGTGGAAACAGAGGCTTCAAGCTGTGTCATGACTTTCTCAGCACCATCAGTTACTAAAGGAGAGAGCCAGGCTCCAACCAGGCAGTCTGACTCCACAGTCCTTTTGTTTATCTATTATCCGTCACCTGCTAAGCATTTAAGAATCACAAACTGTATTGTCAACCAACAGGGACAGTTTTTTTTTTTTTTTTTAAGTGGAGTCACTCAATCTTTCCAAGAGGGCATGTTAAAAAGAAAGGGAAAAATGGGGACCACTGTTTGCTTTTATTCTACACAACATCTAAGTGCCTGTGGCTGCTATTAATTTCAAACACATGTGTAAAATCTAATGAAACAAATACTCAAAATTGTTGGGCAATCTTGTGCCCCATGCCCAAAAAGGAAAGTCTGGTAAGAATTCAGAAGTCAGTTTCTTTGAGATTCAGAAACAATAGGAAGTATTATGGAAAAAAAGAACTACAGCTAAGACTCAGGTCTAGGGAACCCTACGCAAGTCCCTTTTCCTCTCTGGTCTATTTGTCTATGAACTGAAGTGCTTGGACCCGATAATCTCAAAATTCATCCAGGTTTTCACATAGACATTGATACTTAAAATGAACTAGCATGTCTTTTTCTTAGTTTTTTCAAGGTACTATTAGTTATTAGAGATCACTAAATATGTTCTAAATTTTGGAGGTCTTCCATCAGACTTAGAAAGTTAATATTAGATTATCCATCAAATTTAGCAGACTTCTAAGCCTTAACATGGACCTGGTTCACATTTTATTAAAACAGCAATGCCATCTAGTGGACACAAACTCCTTCTATGAGTGTGGAATGCAGGTACTTACGATAAGCCACAATAATGTGATATACATGTTGTTTCCTGCACCACCCAAAACATTGCCATTCATACACTAAAACACTAAGTCCATGACAGTAACATTGGGCAGATAGGCATAGTGTTTAAGAACTCTGGTTCTGGAGTTGGACAGTCTGATTTCAAAACCTGATTGTGCCTTACCCCCTAGTCAATTTACCAAGTCTTTGTCTCAGTCATAAACCTAGGACAATAGCGCCTATGAGTGTGTGGATTAAATGAGTTAATATTCATTAGTTCTTAGGACAGTATCTGTCATGCAGTGCCTCATCATTAGTAGTGGTAGTAGTAGTAATATAATTAATATAATGCTATTGATCTCATAATAACATTGCTGGTTATTACAACTAGGAAGTAGTATAATTACCTACTTCATGCCAGGAAGCATCTTATATTTATTTCTCATAACAATCCTGTTATGCCTGTTATATAACTATTTGTATGACCATTTTACAGATGAAAACATTGGGGCTCAGAAAATGAAACATGCGTCTGAACCCAGGCACGTCTGAGCAATTTCCATCCATTCTTTTAACCATTATACTGTATTTTCTATTTCCTCCCATCAAACAAAGGGAGCTCCTCACACGCTAGTTGGCATTCTCACAGCAAAGCATACTGGGTGTTTGCTGCCTACCTGTCATCCTTCTGGGAGCTACAAGCGAGTTTATGGAGTGTGCATGCTGACATTTTGACTTGACTTGATTAATGAGCATTTATACTAATCTGGCTGATGGCAAACTGCCACAGTAAAGAACCCCATGCAGACAAAATAGAAAAATCTGACTTTATCACATTTTGACTCGGGGAGTTTGCAGCTATACCACACTAAAGAATTTTATAACATTACTCTTAGCTACTAAAAGCCCTGATCTGCTTCCTCTGGCTTCTGAGAGAACAATTAAATATATACAACCAGGTCACTGTTCTGAGATTGAGTCATCTTAAAAGCAGATGTTTTAAAAACAGGTTTTATGATTAATCCACATAGAATACAGTTTTATAGTTCTGAAACTTTTAATTAAAACACATGCTTAAGAGCCATACAACAGCTATATCAGTAATAGCATGCAGGTCTCAGAAAACTGGTTGTATGAACGCAGAAAACTGGTTGTGTCAGAATCGGGAATATTCCTGCTAGAAACAAACTTGTCATTCTAAGTCTGCACCAAAAAAGCCACAAACTTCCTAGAGTGGGACCCTGGAAATAATACTTGGTGTGTGGAGAGAAATATAGAAAATCCCTTCATATAGTAGCCAATTTAAGCCTCACTCCAGTGCCTTCAGGTGGAGAGTGAAAAATCATCCCATCGAGCAGATGAAGAAATCAGAAGTCAGAAACAGGCAGATTTCTTCTTAGACCACAGAGTTAGTTGTGTGGCTAAGTGTGAATTCTCATGGAGATCATTCTGTATCCTAGACCCCCAGGCATTCGCAAAAGCATATTTTTGAAATGTGCCAGGCACTCGAGACAAGCAGACTATAGTTCTACTTCTTACCGTCTAGGAGCCAGACATGAAAACAAATTGCAGTTCAGTCTATCATAGATATTAAGTCCTGGGCATAAAGTTACCACAACTCTGCTGAGGGGAGGGGGGAAAGGGTGGGGCTCACTCTGAGGCACATCTCTTATCAGGAATGCTTCTTTCTCTAGTTTTGGGAATAGAAAACAAAATGTGGGTAAACAAAAAGAAAAATAGAAAACATTTCAGCAATTCTATCTCTGGGTTTCTCAAGCCCTTTCTTGGGCGGTGGGGAGGGCATGAAATTAGAGAAGAAAAAAAGCAAGCTACAGATGAATACTTATGCAGCATTAAACTGGGCTTAGCTAGACTTTTACTTCAAGCAGGCTTGGTGGATGTGTTATATTTTGGGGAATAAAATTTTTCAGTGGATAGTGGCAAGGAGGAGAGACTGATAAGCAGAGAAGGAAAATGGAAGCTCTATCTTTACTCCTCGCTATAGCCCTTAGGAGTTAGGGGATTCTACAGGACTAATACTCTTTATGAAAACTCATTTAAGCACCAAGATGACTGACAGTGTATCCATGAGGTACCAGACAATAAAACATTTCAAACCATGAAACTACATGCTTTGTAAAAGGGGAGATAGGGAACCATCAAGGCCATTTAGGGGGTAAATGGCCTTTTACATAGATCACCTGAGCTTGCTGTTCTAGTAAGTCATTTTCTGCCCAGATAAAGACAATCTTATGTGAATTTATAATCTTTAACATAGATTTAATGTCATGTTCCTTTTGTGTTATATTTATGGGTCCTGGGATTTTAACCAAAAAATAGCAATAAACTTTTTTTTAATTCACTGATCACAGAAATTAAATATTCATAGTTAGAGGAGATTATAAGAAGTGATTGAGCCAAGATAATCTAGTTCTTGTAATGTGCCCTTTTGTTCCACTAAGACAACATAGAAACATAGAAATTCTTAGTGCTGTATT